AGCTGTTCATCTAACATGGATTGTTTATGGCTAGCACTGCTGAATTTTCCCATTTGGGAGAGAAAGAGGGAAAGTTACACCTCCAGCTCAAATCCAATTAGGGATCTGAAACAGAGGAGGTGACAGAAGGGTGTTAAGGTGTTATTAAGCCGTCTCTGATTTTACCCCATTCCATCAGTGGGAGCAGAACTAGCAGCACCCTCTTGCTTGTTTTCAGGTCAACAGCTATCTGACTAGTACTTTGAATGTTCTTAACCAAAATAAGAGCTCTATAGCCTACCATTCTTTGCCTGTTCTGTCCTAACTGCTTCACTGAGCTGGTGTTGGTATGGAACACCAGCCATGCACATCAGAGTCTAATTGTATTTTCTTTTCTCTCCCTTCCCATATGCATTGATGAAGCTTCTTGAAGGTGAGTAGACTTTTTCCAATTGCTATTGGAATTGTCCTAAATGTAATCATTATATTTTATTTGTCTTTTCCAACAATCTCTAGTACCAGGGATTGAAACTGCGTTTAGCAGAAGGCAAAGGACAGTGCTAAAGCCTCTGGCCAATGTCTTAGAGAATGGATCCCATCTGGGTCTGCTAGCTGCTATCAGACACAGTAGAATATCCCTGCAACAGAAGTTGTAGCTGAATACTCTTGCAGGAAAGAACTTTAATTTGGTGGCATTTTCTGTAATTTGAATTGATTAGCGCTTGATTATTGTTCCATGAACACTGGAGTTGCAGAGATCACTGTTGCATGCGGTTTCTGAGAATTAAAAAGTGAACAGCAGGTCTTGATCCTTCAGATGTTACAGACTAGGCCACTAAAAATTGATCTCCTTTGAACTTGGGTGATAAAACTCCACGTTCAAGTTACCTTAACTGAGGAGGGAGATGATGGCAATTTCTAGGGAGACACTGCTTCAAGTCTTTTTATAATTTCCAAGGACTGTTCTTAATAAGACTCGCTTGATAGAAAGTGCCTTTGAGTGGGGAGGTTTCGTTTAACACAGACAAAAGGAGGGCAACAGTTTAGCATCATACAGCAACAAGGAAGCACAGCAGCTCCGGAATGTAGAGTTTTAGATTTAAGCATTTCTTCCATCCCTTCTGAAACTTCCGGAACAAAGCACTCTGTGTTTTGCCAAGCCTTTTTCTTGTGTATGTGCTCCGTCACCATGCTCCTTGGAAACTTGACTCCAGTCCTCTCTCCCCTATCACACAGCAATTGTTGCCATTCCTTACCATAGGATCACAGCAGACCATGTTAGTAAGAATAGTGTGAGGGACCTTCCCTTTATAGGGCAGATTTATTCACAGGTAGTGTATCTCAGTGGACACTGAGAATCTCTCAGGTCACGTTTTAACTGTTCTTAGGGTGATTATAGCAAATGTTTTGTTTCTGTAGCAGAATAGTCTCAATGTGTGGAAGGGTTCAGCCTTAATATTTAGGAAACTACTTTGCTTGAGATTGCTTGTAACCCAGCTGAAGAGTGTCCATTTCAAATAGGAGCCATTACAAACTATTTATAATAACGTGTTTGAAGGATAGTTCCAGGGAAAAAGAGAGAGTAAATGATAGGTCTGACTTACCAAAATTAAATTACAGGGTATGCACAACAAAGGAGAAATCTTACACCAAGAAGCCAGCAACTGTTGGACAGCCCTGTACTGCGCAGTGATGACGAAGATGAAACAGCAGATGATGTGACTGACGTAGAGTCTGAAGTGACTGAAGACTCTGCAGAATGGGGATCATTGGACGAGGTGGCTGACGTAGAACCTGAAGTGACTGACGTAGAACCTGAAGTGACTGAAGACTCTGCAGAAGGGGGATCATCGGACGAGGAAACTGCAAATTCAGAGTACGTACGCCTCGTGACCTACCAAAGAGTGATTTTTGCTTCTTTGAAGCCTTCACTTTACTTATTTCCCTCTTTCAATGAGGATTGCATCCTGTGCTGCATGATGATGAAATGATAATGTTTGCACTTTGGGAGAAAAAGGCAGCCCAAGGCAGATGGGCAACTTTGCATACAACCTTAAAGACGAGTTTGGGGCTATGGCAAGGAAGGGTGATTAGTCACGGGCCCTAGCTCATAATGTGTTGCATTTACTTTTCATGTTAGGCTCTAATAGCGATCTTGGATATGGAAATATTTTCATTAGTATGGCTGGTTTGGCATCACAAGACTGGCAGGCAGCAGCCAGGCAAATTCTGTGCAAGTGTTAATAAAGCTGGTATGCTTTGAGCCTTTTGGATTACTGAAAGGCAACATAAGAGGGAACTTAATATAAAAAAAGAATATTTTTTCCTTCGGTCTCAAGCTTCTCTGTTACAGAATGTGCCTTCCTGCTCTCAGTAGGTAAGGCTGGAATAGCTCAGAGCTGCAGAACATTGACCAGAGGGTTTTTCCCGAGGCTGGAGCTTGCCAGAGCCATCTGCAGTGTTACTCTGTAGTGTCAGACCTCATTCCATTCTAGAATGAATACTTTCCAGAGGACAGCTTGATGCTTTGGTTGCAAAGCTGTTATTGATGACCTGTTGGAGAGAAATGCTGCCATATATAGACTTCCCAGTGCTAGAGACTGCTGTTACTTCAAATCCTAGAGCAGGGTGGCTGACTTCATCTTTCTCCCAGTGAAAACCAAGACACTGTTTCCTTTAGGACAGGGAGATCTGAACTCCTCATTACATGCAGCAAACTGAGAGAGTTAAAGACATGCAGGGTTCTTCAAAAGAAATGCATCGTGGCTACTCAGTGCAGTCAGATAATTATGGGACATTTTATATACCAGTAACCCTCGATGCCCAGTGGTATTAATAGCTGCTCTTTCTGGGTCTGTTCTTTCTAGGGAATGGCAACGAGCTGTAAGGTGCCCGATTTGCATGGATTTTTATTCACGGGTAAGGATCCACATGTTGTCATCCTTTCAGCTTTGTGGGAGGGGTAATGGGGCAGAGGGGGAGCTGTGCAACTCAGCTGACTAATGTGGGGTGCTATGGGCAGCTGGCTTGAAGCACAGAACTTGCTGTGAAGTTCCACAAGTCACTTCTTGGCAGTGTACGTAGAGGGAGAAACCCTTGCCCTGGCAGATCTGGGGGTTCCTTATTCTAGTAATGGACCGATTCCAGATATTCCAAGTCCTATTTTCCTGGTGCCAGTAGAGCAGCAAACTCAAATCCTTTCCTCCCAACACATGTTGTGGTTTCCTTTCTTCCAGATTCTACGAAAACACCGACAGGTTGTGTCAACCCAGTGTGGCCACCTCTTCTGCAGTCGGTGCCTCCCTTTTGCCCTTCAGACTTCTTGGGCTTGCCCAACCTGCAGGACAGAACTCCCTCCCAGAGCCTATCATCGCATTTTTTTCTGAATACTTCTGTTTCTCAGGACAGACTCAGATGGATTTTGGGGGATAGGTGGCAGAAAGACTTTTTTCTTCGTGTACATAGTTCTTGTTGTATACAGTTCCATTTTTCCGGAGTTTAATTAGAAATATAAATTTAAATTAATTATAATTATGAATTATAAGTATAAGTATAAGTTAGGTGGCAGAAAGACTTTTTTCTTCATGTACATAGTTCTTGTTGTATACAGTTCCATTTTTCTGGAGTTTAATTAGAAATATAAATTTAAATTAATTATAATTATGAATTATAAGTATAAGTATAAATATAAGTATAAGTATAAATATAAATATAAGTATAATATAAATTTAAATATAGTTAAGTCTGTCTGCTCATCTATATTGGACTGCTGGTAGACAGAGACTTCTTTTAACAAGTTTAAATAAAATTGTTGGTTCGATCAGTCAGAAGCACTCGTTCTTTTCATCACACTGTAGTTTTTGATTTCGGGGGAAAAATGCTAAAGGCATAAGCTTTGTAGTTCTTGGGGCAGTGCGTGTTGTATGGTAAAAGGAAGTGGGCAGTGCTTGGGGTGTGAGGGCTTCTGTTTCTCAGGAAAGACTCAGCTGAATGTTTTGGTGAAAATGTCATGCTTTCAGTACTTTGAGGATTGAAAGAGCAGCAGATTGCTCTCTTGCTGCAGACATCCAAAGAAAAATATTTTCTTTGAGAATATAGCTGTGTAAACTGCTGTGTTCAACATTTAGCCTGCAAAATACGTCTTTACCTGTGAGGTAAAGACACAAAGCAACCGCTGGGGAGCGCATCACCACCATGATCACTACCATCGCTGTCATCATCACCATCACCATTTACCTTTCCCACTCTAAAACCGAATTGTGTCAACCCAATTGTCTGCAGAGGGAACAAGGAGCCAGCAGCAGCTCCTGGACCCTGGCTGCTGACATGGTCTGGCAGCAAGTGTCCCCATCAGTGACGGAGATACACTGGACATCGCCAGCCAGTGCTGATGGCAGGTACCTGTCCAGATTTTGGGAGAAAGCGTCCTGCTGAGCACACAAGTTGTTTCTCTAACTGCCTGCAGGCCTAAGCAAGACTTACACTTCCCAAGCTCTGGTTTCAGTGCTTGCAAACATCTCCATCTGCCAGCTGGCCGTGGTACTTCACAGCTCAGGGGCTGTCGCTGCTGAAACATCCTACCCTGCGTGTGACTCTTCCATAAGGGCTCGTCCTGCATTTCCCCTTGAAAAATTCAATTTCATCAGGGGAGTTTTCAGATCTCGGGGATGGAAACCTCAGGGAAAAATAAACTCTCACGGACTTCAGGTGCCATTACCTACCCAACCACCACTGGATGTGGCACACTAAGGGTTGACCTGAGGGCATTTGCAATCAGAATGCCAAATTCCTTGCTGCTTGGAGAGGAAATAAAAAATAAAGACAGTTGCATTGTTACACTGACATTTCTGGTCTATTTGGATTAAAAGATAAAAGTTTGCTGCAAGTTGTCATATCTGAAAAGCACTGCTTCCTTCTGTAGAGGAACTTTTTAATAGCTATTTTAGAATAGGAATTCTTTAGTCCTCTGTTGCATTTTATGGATTTTATAGGTTGCATATTTGGGAAGATATACTTTTACTTCTTCCAACAAATCTCACACAAGTTCAATCCAAACCTCTGCTTTGATTTTTGTTTGCTTGTTTTACACCTGCTACATCAGCAGCCAACGGGCCTTTGCCAAACCTGTTAAACCAAACGTAAAGCTGATATGAGCAGGAGTCACCTACACAGGTGGGGGCTGGCAACCAAGACAGAACACATCTCCAGGCTGAGAAATTGCATATGTCACCTTCTCAGTAACCATCCTGTTTTCACAAGATAGCAAAATAAATTTTCCTTTCCAAGCGAAAGTCCAGCTAACAGTCTAGGAAAAAAACCCAAACAAAAAGCAAACAAACAAACAACAACCCCCCCCAAACCAAACCAAACCAAACACAAAACCCCCAAAACCACACCCATGAGACAGCTGTGGTGTGAAACACAGGTTAAGAGCTACTCCACAGAGCATTTCCCCAGGTGAAATGACATAAGGAAAAAGCCCCCCAAAGCCCTACCAAGAATCAGTGGGTTGGAGTCAAGACACCAAACTGCCTTAAGAAAGGAGAGCAAAAGCTGAGAGTATTACGGTTTAGGTTGGCATGTTATTGTCAATACAAATAGTTGTAACCTAGCTCATTTCACATCTGTGTTATGAGGTAGCTGTGATAAAATGGATGGATGCAACATTTTTGTCAAGCCCAGTTGTTTTGGGGAAGATGATCTGCATGGAAGTAGATTTATAAATGTGGTGTGGGACCTATATTCTCCCCTCAGCATCTTTTTGGCTCCAGGTTCATTTTAGCAGGGAAAGCAGTTCCAGATTTCCAGCTAAGCCAGCCCAGGATTATCTCATGCCCCAGTAGCCTTTTTATGCATATGAAGTGACTGGGGCTAATTTTCTTAGTTCTGTCTCAGATATTTTGTGTAGATTCATAGTATTGCTTAACACAACAGAAGAAAATTAACATGATTGAGAGCCCAGACCTGGCATGCTGTAGGCTCACCTGTCAGAGGCTTGGGGTCATCATTTTTAGATGCTGACAGGGACGTGTTTTTGCCATGCAAGTGCACAGAGACTGTCAGAGACCACTTCTATTAGCTGCCTCGAAAGAGAGGGAGGATTTGCTCCAGAAGTTTTCAGTCTTTCTCTGGCGCTTTGCTATGAAGTGCTGGAAATTGCAGGTCAGGTTAGCTAAACACAGACCAGTTTTGATTAATATGGGAGATGAATGCAAATGGCATGGGAGCGGTTGATGGGGCAGTGATGCTCAGAGGTGGCAAGAGGCAGTTTTGGAGGGTGATGCAACAAGTTTGTCTGCCAGATATTTCTGGTAAGGCAGCTGCTGGCAAATAGTTTCCGATAAGCCACAAACACCATGCAGTGGTGAACAATCAAAAAATAAAAATTAAAGGGGAGAAGTTAACATTATCCCAATATTAGCCTCTAAAAAGACGACCAGCAGTTACAACTTCCCTTGGTTTCCTGCTTGCCCCAAGGACGCAGCAACCCCACTGACTTTTTCAGTGTCAGGATTTCTCCTCCTTATACTTTGGGTTTAATTTAAGACCTGGGTAGAGATAGAAAGCTGAGCATGTGGGCAAAGCATCACACCTGACCCAGTCCTGCTCTGTCAAAACAGACTGTTGTCAGCAAAGCCACAAGGAGAAAGGCAGGGCTGTGCTTTCCAGATGCTGTAACGTGCTGCCCTGGAGCTGTAGCTTAGAGGGCTTTGACCCCTTGCACAAACAGTGCAAATCAGTGTCGGTGGGGTTTTGGGAAATGGTTATTAATGTTCATGCAGTTTCCCCTCTTAGAGGACACAGAAGTGGTTTTAGAAAATTAAGGACTTTCACCTGCTTTGCACTGTGACTTGTGCCTTGCTGCAGTAGAATTAAACCATCTCTTCTTCTGGGGGTGGGGACGTTTACAGTTCATAGTTTTTGTGAAACTGTAAAAAGCTAGCAGAGGCTTCAGTATGCAACTCCAGGTACTGATATCAAGTTCCCCAGCCTTTAGAGAAAATTCTCCTCTTTGGGCTGTTTCTGCCACCACTTTCCTCCCCTTGGTAGTCTTCACAGTCCTGGGACCATTCCAGTTCAAAACTTGGAAGTGCTCCCATGGAATTCGGGGGGCGCTGACCCCGCTTAGGGCAGTGCTGTGGCCTGGGGACCATGGAGTGCAGGGCAGCTGTGTGAAGTTGCAAAGTCCCTGCAAAGGTGTTTTCTTCTATGGCAACCACTGATGTCCCCCAGGAGGGATGACGGGGGTACTCTCTGGGAGGAAAAGCACAGCACAGGTTGTAGCAGCACACTCCGTCTAAGCAGAAATACAGCAGCTCAAAATTTGTCTTACAAGTTTATCAGTGACGACCTCAGCAAAGAGAGTCACCTGATTGTTGATAAGCTCAATTGAGGAAGGTCTGCTGGTTTTAGTGTTGAACAATGCTGAAACCAGCTTGACCAAACTATCAGACCCCACCACAAGGACGTGCAAGACAGAGGTTCCCTGACTGAGGCTGGGAGCAGCAAGGACGTGCAGGCCCTGATACAAAACTCAGAGTCAGGAGTGTCAAGCAGAAGAAACTAGAGAGTTGCAAACACCTTTGTCAGCAACAAAACATATTTTGTTGAGTAAGGTGACAACACATAATCTAAAAAAATTACATATGACTGACAATCACTTTATACTATAAAAGCCCAGACTTTTTAATGGTAGGGTCTCCTAACAAACCCCTTCTCCAAGTGTGTGTGGAGATTTCTCCCTTGAGTGGGAACGCCCCTCAAGGTTAGTCCTTGAGAATGAGCAAAAGAGATTTGCCCCTGGTCATTGCTATGAGTGAGTAACACCAACCTCTACTTAGTAATTGTTTTGCTAGCTTTAATATAATTACTTCAATTGTTTTATTACAATTGCTTCAATATTGCTTGAAAAATAGTGTGCTATACTAATAGTTATAGCTATCCATCCATATTGTGTGGTAAGTAATTCTGACAAAACTCCTTTTTTTCTATCATTATCATTATTGTAACCCATTTCAATAAATCATTCCTTTTATTTGTATAAATATATTTGGTTTGCCATCCTTAATCCTGCAGGACAAAGTGGTATAAAGGTAGACATAAACCACTGAAAAGTCTGGGGCTAAGACTGGATCCAGGTGCATGTAGGTTCCTCTCTGAGAAGGAGTTTAGAAAGCAATGGGGTTCCTTCCCCACCTCGTAACTCAATAGGAGGGCTTCTCTAATAATACACTTTATCTAGTAAACTTTGTCTGAAGCTCCCACTCTGCCTGTGACAGAGGTGCCGAAAACCCATGCCTCGGTTGCCTCGGGTATCTCAGGGCCCACAGCAGCTGTGGTCAAGCCCTTCACACCTGCGTTTCACCTCTTGGAAGACGTGCTGGAGAAGCCTGCTGACTGCAGGTCCTGCACACATGGCTTACTTACTCCTCCCATCAGAAACTTGATCCAGGGACAATTTCTGGGCATGAAAAGTACACATTTAAGGAGAGATGGCAGTCGGACTTGGTTTGCTTTGTAAATAAACACCGGGGGTGTGTAATGCGATAGCACGTATACTTGGCTCCAGCTGGGCTTTCTCTATAGTGTGTTGTTTTGGTGTTCTGGACCAGAAATCTGTAGGTTTGTTTTTGTACCAGTGACTCAACCACTAAACTGCTTAACCTTCTCCACAGTCAGCGTCTCGGAAAAGCCAAACACAAGCAACTCGGACTGCATGAAAACATGAGCTGCAGACTGGCCTGAAAGCCAAAAGAAAACTATAATTTACTGGAAGGGAAGGTCCTCTTTAAATTTACAGAAAAGAGCATATATAGAAATCTAACAAAAGCATGTAATGATTGTCTGGCAGGGACCAGGGAATGCTACTGCAAGAAGTGGTGATGTGGATCAGCCATCAGATGTTAAACACAGTTTGTCTTGGTCAGGTCATAATCCCACATCCTTGATGAGGAGCATCTCTTCTTACTACTAAAACTGCAGAGATGCAGTGAGAAAAGCAAAAGCTCAACTCGAATTGAAATTGAACAGAAATGTCAAAAACTGCAAGAAAGGGTTCTACAGACACATAAACAACAGGAAGAGATAGAAGGTATTGGCCCACTCTTAAAAAGGAGAGGTGAAGTAGTCACCAGCAATGCTGAAAAGACAGAGGTTCTCAACACCTCCATCTTTACCTGAACTGCTGGGCTCCAGGTCTCGGGAACAACAATCCAGCTTGATGCAGACACAGACACACCAGTGTCAGTGGAGGAAGAGTTGGTGTGTGCCCTATTAAGGAGCTTGACCCCTACAGATCGATATTCACCTGAGGGTGTTAAGAGAACTGATGATGTTGAGAGGCAGTCCTCCTTGGTATGGAGATCAGGGGACATCGCAGAAGGCTGGAAGAAGGCTAATGTCACCTCATCTACAAGATGGAGTGACATTCTTGAGGTGTCCTGCTCAGGGCCAGGAGTTGAACTCAGTGATCCTGATGGGTTCCTTCCAACTCAGCATATTCCATGATTCTATGATTCTTAGAGGAGGATCCAGGAAATTATAGGCTCACCAGGTATACTTCACTGCCTGTGAAAGTTATGGAATGAATCCTTCTGGGGGTTATCACAAATAAAATGAAGCACATAACTGGTAAAAGCTAGCATTAATTCACCAGGGGCAAATTGTGCTTGACAAACCTGATCTCCTTCTATAGTAAAGGAACGAGCTTGGTCAACGTGGGGGAAGTGGAGGGCATTGTCTACCTGGATTTCTCCAGAGCATTCGATACCATTTCCCACAGCCTCCTCCTGGAGAAACGGATGAGTTACACTCTAGACAAGTGGTCTGTGCAGGGGGTGAGGAAGTGACTGAGAGGCAGCACCCAGAGGGTGGTGGCAAATAGCTCCTTTTCAAACTGGCACCCCATCACAAGGCACTTCCCCAAGAGCTGTGCAAAAATGAGGTGATGCTCCAGCACAGGCAGGGGAGCAGGATGGGGGAGTGCTGGCATGTGTGGAAAACACTTTGGGAGAAATGGGACAAAATAGTTTCAGTTGGCAGGTATTTGAGTGGAGTCCTGATGACAGTGTACACTGTACATGTGGGGACACCATTAGGTAAGCTATGAAAATTCAGAGCACTGCATGAGCACCAAGATTTGTGCCATAAATGGCAGTTAAGTTTGCACTTTTTTATGCAGATCACACATCACACCAAGGTTTAAGGCAGGGCTTGCAAGCTGATTTCCTGAGGATAATATATTAATTAAGTGATCAGGCTCACTAAAGCAGAGTTGATGCAGGATATAGACACTGGCAAACCTGCCCCAGCAGGGACCATTGCCACAGACTTGTGCAGAAGGCTGTGTAGTGCTGGCAGGGACAGGGAGGCTCAGGGCCACACTCTTTCCCTCTGCTTAAGCTTTGCCTCTGACTAACCAGCTCTGCCTTATGAAGAGTATTCCTCTTTCATATTTTGCTTTCTCTCGCCCTTTTCCAGCTCGGTTTCCTCAGCCACCTGTGCTTCAAGCCTTCTCCTCTGCCAGCCTTATGGCTTTTCTGCTCTATTGGCATTTTCCCCCTTAGTCCTTTTTTTTCCACTGCTGTTTCCCCTGCCTTGCCTTTTCCGCTATGCATTTCCACTCCGGTGTTTCATTTTTTCCTGATCTGCCCTCTGTCAGTGCTCACCTCCTCCACTCCAAGCTGAGTAAACTGGTGCTAAGTCCTTGCTCTCACTGCCCAAAATTCCCACCCAAATGAGGTCAAGGGATTCCTTAATGAAATTCCTTGGATATCAGTTTTGTGGAATAGTCTCCTATTCAGTGTATCTGGTTCTTTTATGCTTCCAAGCTTCATTTTCTTCTTTTTGAAACGAGCCAAAACAGGAGTGAAAGGAAGATGCTGCCAGGAAGGCTGTGGGGAAACTTCAAGAGACCCAGTGCTGCCATGACCTGACAGATCTCCTCAGTCTCATTTGCTTCCTGGAAAAATCTTTGTCTTTATTCCTGTTTATTATTAATTCATCTGATTCACGGTCATTAATGCAAAGGAATGGTTGTGAAATGGTCCCCTGCCAAAAGTAAATAACCGTTATAATGGTGATCAGAAAGTTGGATGTTGAAGACCTGTAGGTTAGTTTGCACAGGTCCTGTCTCCACTTAGCAGGAGGAAGCTCGTAGTGCAGCTAGGGAGGGACAGGTTCCCTGGGTTTTACCAACAGCTCCTATGCACAAAGGTTAAGGTATTCCGGACTTAAATCACTAACAGGTAGGTATGTCGGCCTCCAAGCTAATTGCCTGAAGCAAAGTTACTTGAGGTGAGTCACAGTCAGATGATGATTTTGTCACCTGGTTCGGACCCAGTGACTGCTGCTGCCTCCTAGCTCTCCTGGGCTTCCTTTGGTCACTGGAAAGCAGCTCTGACACATGCCCGGGGGCAAGATGGGATTTTCTGTACAAGAACTGGGGAACAGCTGCTGCTCTCAGCACTTCCCAGCAATGAGTAAGTGCTCCTGGAAATGAATGAGTGGCAGGAAATTCTTGTCTTTCTCCTGGGGAAAAAGTGATCTCTGACCCGCCTGGGTGCCCTCTCCCTGAGTCATCAACTGGGGCTATGGGTGGTACTAAGTGTGTTTAAGGTGAGATGCTGTGATACACGAGGTCTAACATGTTCTTACCCTCTCCCAGCAGGAGAAGATGTCTCCACTCTCTGTTGCCACCCTGCACAGCTTCTCTCTGTAAGCCCTGTATGCTTCCTCCTGCATCCATGTTGTCCTGCCTGCCCTGACCAGTGTGTCCTACAAAAGGGGCTTTGTGGAGGTGTGCTCAAGGGAGGTAGTTAAGTTTTAGCTTCCTGTTCGCTGAGCCAGGAGTAAGATTTTAACAGGGATTGTGCTATACCAGAACTATTTTGCTGTTGCTTAACTAGTGCTACCTGGCTCTGGGCCACTTAAAACAAAAAGCCAGACCCCAGAAAAGAGCAAAGCATCGCTATGGTCACTGGAAAAACAAAACTGGGCCTTTTCTCCATGCAGCTCAAACAGTGCCCAGGCCTGGGGATGCAGAGCTATAGAAACCTCTCCCGAGTTGGTAGGTGGAGGTGTTTGTTGGGGTGTGGGCTTGTGTTTCTCCACATGGGGATGTGGAGGGGAAGTGGGGGGCATCTGTGTCATCCAGCAGAGTTTTGTGGAGAGGGAGAAGACTTTACCCTCTCTGCACTGGCTGCTGCATCCGCTTCCAGGATGACAAAATCAAGGCACTGATGCCCCAGGGACTGAGGTCTGTGGCCAGGTACTGTCCTGGGTCGTGCTGTCTGGGCAGCCTGCTCTGGCACACCTAATGGAAGTGGAAGGTACTAGCCGGATTTGGCAGCAGTAAGCTGCGCACCACACTTAATCCCTGAAAATCCTGTTTGTTTAAAGGCATGAATTCAGGCTGGGAGTTCATGACTAACTAGGAAAATGAGATTAAGTTAACAAGGTATGCATTAGGACACCAGTGAGATCAAATCTCAGGATTTTTAATGACAGCAATAAAATACTTCAGCCTCATGGTACAAAAGCCTCAGCAGTAGTTGATGTTAGACTTGGTTTCTCTCTTGTTCAAAGACCATGCTGTCAGGTATGAAGTGACTAGTACACAGCTTCATGTCAGGGCCTTATCCAGGACACTGTATTGGGGAAAGGAAGGGGACTCCTTCCTAGGGATGGTGGACTCAGGAGGCAGAGGAGTGCAGGGTTCTGTCATAGACTTGCTCTATCAGGCTGCTTTCAAAACACCTGTTCTGGTTCTCAGGGTTTGCAAAAGATTTCCAGTAGCCATGAGGAACATGGAAAAGGTTTTTAAGGGCTCAGAGACGTAAGGGGTCTAAGGGCACAGGTCAAAAGCTAACCTCTTCAAGGGTAGATAAAGCCCTGAGATGTAATCAGCTCAGTGTGGGACAGGTGACAGCCCAAGTACTTAGAGTAGCTACTGTGATGTGCCTTCCAGGACATGTGAAACAGATGGCAAAAAAAGAGGTATTTTGCTTGTTTTCCTTCTCTTTGATGCTCCACTGTTGCTAACCAATCCCTTGGTGTGACTTGTATCAGAAGGGCAATGGTGATGTTGTTTCTTACTCTTTCCGCACATAGAGTCTGTATTTCCAGAGCCTGCCACAGGCTCTACCCTTTGTAAGGGCCAGTGACCTGTCAGCACACCAGGTATGAGGGGAAGGTTTTGTTAAGGTATCTGGCATGGCTTGCTCTATTTACCTTCCCTTTTTGCAGAAATCAAAAAGGAATTAGTTTGCAGTGTATGCAGCAAAGTGCTGGTAGAATTCAATTCAGTTCATTCACAAGTACTTGTGTTCTTCTAACACTGTTGGATATTCAGTGTTTGTGTGCTCGAGAGAGACTTTTGCTTGGGGTTGTTCTTGCCTTGTAATAGTGAGCTGTCATTAAAGACCCCCAGGAAGGCAAAGCTTGTACTGGAGAGATGTTCTCCAGTGACTGGTGTGAGCATCTTCCACTTTTTTTGAAGAGTAGAGCACTGCTCAGCCTGGAGCCTGCTCTCATTACAGTGAGAAACAGCGAGCTTTAATACCCTTTGCTGCAGGGATTGATGCTGATGTGAAAGACAGAACATGATTCATAAATCACCAGGCTGGCACTGGAAGGCTGCTGGAAAATCCCAGCTTAAAAGCTGTACCTGTTACTGAAACAAAGCAGTTTGTCACAGCTCTCGAGTTGCTCAGAACTCATGTGCATTTCCTTGTGTTTGAAACACAAAGGGGCAATTTGGACCTCAGCTCCTTCTGACAGCCACACTGATTCTCCAAAGCCTGCAGATGTAACAGGTGTTTGGTCTGAGAGATGTGTATCTTCAACAGGCTTCAAGCAAATAGAGCCCATGAATGGGGTGTCCACAAAGCACATGAATGCAGTGGTTGGCTTAAACCACCTCCCTGTGAGCTGGTTGGCTCAGTGATTGGCCTGACAAATTCTCTGTGCCTTTCCCTGATTGTTTTTCCTTAGGAAACCCCTTTTTCTACATCCTGACTGGTCATGGGGAGAAGCATTCATGATTGTGACCCCGCAGCAATCCCAGTAATCATTGTCAGTACCAAGTGAATGCTAAACTCATGCTATGCCAAGCACCCTCATCCTCCTTGAACCTGCTTGCCTGCATTATCCACTTGCCCAGGCAAGGACCACCTAGGCCACCATGACTCTGGGTGTTAATGGATTCATCCTCTGCTGTCAGCACCCTGCTTGAGCCAGTGCAAAATGCAGCAGGACCCTGAAGCCTTGCCAAGTAATGGGGCTGGTTTAGGATTTGGTGCCTCATGCGTGAGGCTAAGGAAGTGACTTACAGGCTTGTGATTAGATTTTCCTTTCAAGTTTGTGCTGGCAGACAAGAGTGAAATGTGTATGGTGCCTCAGCCTGTGCACAGCTCACTGGCACTTGCCCAGTCACAGGTGGCCAGAATTTGAGGGGGCAAGAGGGCATCTGCATACAGCAGCAGCCTGATGGTGTTTCAGGACTGTAGGGCTGTGCATTGGCTGTAACAGTCTCAGCATCTCTGTCCCTGACATCTGCTCCTGATGCAAGGCTAGACCTGTCACAGGCTTCACAAACAGAGCAAGAAGAGTAATCCAGTACTAAATGCTTGCTGCAAGCGTCAGGTCTTTGGGAAAATCCTTGCTGAGCCATAGCTGTCAATGTTGTGTTGTTACAGAGTAAGTCACTAGACTGAATGGGCTAAGACATTGTGAAGGGGACACCTTTCAGACACCTGGCTTTCAGCAGGAATTTGATTCAAGAAGGTTTTCAGGTTTTGTCAAATGGTCTTGAAATCAAAATATTTAATCTTATTTCCAACTTCCCTTCTTAATAAACACCTTCCTGGGATACCTTCTGACAGGTATGTAGATATCTTTTGATAGCTAGAAAATTAATTTTAAAAATAAATGCTATGTGCATATACTAATTGTGCTTAATCATGGGTGCTGCTATAGCCTTCTAGCTCAGAATTATAGAATGGTTTGGGTTGGAAGAGACTTTAAAGATCACCTAGTTCAAACCCTCTGCCATAGGCAAGGACACTGTTCACTAGACCAGGTTGCTCAAAGCCCCATCCAATTTGGCCTTGAATGCTTCCAGGGATGGGGCTTCCACAATTTCTTTGGGCATCCTGTGCTAGTACCTCACCACCCTCACAGTAAAGAATTTCTTCCTAATATCCAATCTAAATCTGCCCTCTTTCAGTTTAAAGCCATTCCCTCTATTCCTCACAGTCTCCCTGTCCCTGCCTCCACTCTCTGTAGGCTTCCTTTTTGCGTTTTAGTTTGCCTAGGAGCACCCTGTTCATCCATGCAGACCACTTGGCATTTTTGCTTGACTTCTTCTTTGTTGGGATGCATCACTCCTGAGC